AGAGAGGGAGAGGGGGAACTTCCCCTCTCGCTGGGGGAGGGTTCTGGGGGGGGGGTTGACTATTTGACTATTTTGACAACGGCGGGTAAATACAGGAACATTTTCACAACGGCGATGTTAAATTTGACAACAGCGGTGCGCCACTGTGCCTCTTATGTATAAGAAACCCTGGTACACTTCCTCATGCAGGGGGACGTAGGGATAGGGATACTTCCGCAGGAAGGGAGACAGAATAATTGGGGATGCTTCCTAAAGTAGGGGGAATGTGAATAGGGATGCGGGCGCTATGACGACAGATACAACAGATGAAGGTGCAGCCGCCATGACAGTCGTAGGACACCTCCGCTCTGCATCCCTCTGGCTGCTATGTTGTCTACACGTTTCAACATATATATATCAAGAGTACATAATAGATGTCTCATATGTCTATTATGTACTCTTGATATATATTATTGCATATATATTCCACTACAGGGTATTAGCCAGGAATGGGTATTGTGGGAGTGCAGAAAAAATATTTGGGAGTGCAATTTTTTTAGTATGTGTGTCTCAGCCAAGACCGTCATTGGGGGGGAGGGGGGTAGATCGGCCTTCCCGGGAAATTTTTTTAATTTTTTGGCCGTGCAGTTTCAAAACTGACCGTGCAAATCACGACTGCACGGCTCGCTGGCTAATACGTTGGTTGTCTACACGTTTCCTTTCACATACATATGCAGCGTTGGAAACAGCAGCAACCCTTCAGCAGAGCCCCCTTCTCTTTCCCGTCCAGGATCACTAACTATATTGAGTGTATATATATATATATTGTACCAGTGTGTATATATATTGTACCAGTGTGTATATATATATATATATATTGTACCCGTGTGTATATATATTGTACCAGTGTGTATATATATTGTACCAGTGTATATATATATTGTACCAGTGTATCAGGCCTCGAATTAAGTGACGAGAGGGGCAAGGCAATTTTTTGGGGGCATGTGAGAAATTGCCTTGAATTTTCTCTAAAATGGATGGGCACCGAGGCAATTTTAAAAGGCATCAAGGCAACTCTCGCAATTTCAGAAGGGCACCAAGGCACTTTTGTAAAATAAAGGAAAACTCATAACAAATTAATACATCAACCTCTGCTAATGGAACTTGGAAGTACAGTAACAGGGTTCAACGTACGTTAACTTTTTATTTCACTAGACCATCGGGCTAGTAACTGAGGAAAACCGCTATATACTAGCCCTGACCTAACTTTCACTATAGCCCAGACCCAGACCATTGTTATGGGAAACTTTGTGTCATCGTATGAATTCTACTAAAATTTCTCTAAATTTACTGCACTTAGCAAGCTACACACCATACAGATCACAGCTGGCCATTGTTGCGCGAGCGTCGTTTCGCGCGCTTTAAATCGCGTGCGGGCCGAGTCCACGTGCAGCATTTAAATATTCGTGTTCTACCACGTGCATACACAGGCGCACGATTTATCGATCGTCTACTGGCAGCGGTTGGCAGCAAGCCACGTTTACGGTTATTGTTTTTGCCGAAGGGTAGACTGGAATCCGGCCTCACGCTCTGCTAGACAATGTACACGCTCTGCGACAAACAGTGCGGCCGCGAACCAGTCTAGCCAGAGGCACCGACGGCAATTACAGAAAATGGCAAGGCAGGTGACTGCCGTCGGTCGAGTTGGATTTTCAGGGGCAGTACGGCGATTGATAGGGGCACCGACGGCAATTGTCTTCGGTGCCGTCGGTTAATTCGAGCCCTGCAGTGTATATATATATATATACATTGTACGAGTGTATATATATATTGTACGAGTGTATATATATATATTGTACGAGTGTATATATATATTGTACGAGTGTATATATATATTGTACCAGTGTATATATATATTGTACCAGTGTATATATATATTGTACCATTGTATATATATATTGAGCAGGACCGGCCGATCTTTACGGATCTCACTACGGGTTACTCAATACAAATCAAAATGTTCGACAGTTAGGAATCAGGCCGCGTTTCCAGAATTATTTCCGAGACGCGAGATTATATTCGCGAAATTTCGCCGCGACGATGAAAGCGAGGTCGAGCGCGTGCCCCCGCAACCTCCCCGCCCCGCTCGTTGCCGTGACAACACTCACCTCGAGTCGCGGTCCGCCGAGGGCCTGCTGCAGTTCTGTAACGGAAGAGCAACGCGGCGAGTGAGCAACGGGTTGCTACAGGATAACGAGATGCGTTCGCGACCGCGTTTCTACTAGGGGACCAGGGGTGTAACGATACATTTTGTTTCGGTTCGGTTTTCGGTTTTTGCTCTTCGGTTGGGTTCATTCGGTTCGGTTATTTTCAGTAGTAAAAATGCTGAGAAGATGGGGAAATTTTCCCTCCATTTTGAATAATAATAATACCTATCATAATATTATACATTTATTATCATCTCTCCCTAACTGAGAGTGGGTTGAATGTATTTCCCGGAACCGAACCGAGAACCAAAACCGGGAGAGAAAAAAACGAAAACCGAACCGAACGGGATGTACCGCGATACAGTTGAATCGCGGTTAATCGTAACACCCCTAGTTTCTACCATGTATTATTACCATCGCAATACAACCATAAACAAACACACAATCTACCAACACACTAGACGCCCTGCCGCCGCCACCTAACCACACACACGCTCGCTCGCTCGCGTACGTTTCAGCTCTTCCTTGTTCTTCTCGCTGGCAGCGTGGTCGACGCGCAGCGTTCGGCTGTTCAGCTCGTAACCGTTGAGGTTCCGCATCGCGCTCAAGGCCGTCTCCTGATCCCGGTACTCACAGAACCCGTAGCCCTTAGGTTTACCCGTCTCCCTGTCGTAGACCAGCCTGTAAGACAGAGGAGAAGGTTAGAGAGAGAGAGGGAGGGAGAGGAAGGCAGGAGGAGGGAGAAGGACTGTGTCTTGATCCCAGTACTCACAGAATCCGTAGCCCTTAGGTTTACCCGTCTCCCTGTCGTAGACAAGCCTGTAAGACAGAGAAGAAGGTTAGAGAGAGAGAGAGAGAGAGAGAGAGAGAGAGGGAGGCAAGAGGAGGGAGAAGAACTGTGTCCTGATCCTGGTACTCACAGAACCCGTAGCCCTTAGGTTTACCCGTCTCCCTGTTGTAGACCAGCCTGTAATACAGAGGAGGTTAGAAAAGAAGGTTAGAAAGAGAGAGAGAGAGAGAGGGAGGAGGTAGGTTATAAATTATAAATAATTTATAAACCAAAATGAATCACAATTTGTGACGGTAGATGGCGCTATACCCGCTTTGATGTTTTTTAGCATAAATCATTATATCATAATAATAATAGTATAAATCATAATATGTTCATAGCAGGAATTTTGCATTAAAGATATTGTCAATGACTTGACGATGACGAGTGTGACACCACAGACTGTTTAATATCTGCGTGTCTATATATATATATATGCTATATAATTGCCAAACCCTACCTAATTTGCATAATTTTTTTTTAAATCAAAAACCCTAGCCCTTATTCATTCACATACCAGAAATGAGCAAGATCCGTTGAACCTGAACTGACTAATGACAATTCCCATTTTTGCCAAAAAATTGCCGTGGCTCGAAAGTACGTTGACTGGCGTGCTCCAACATAGGACGTTTCATATGGGAGCATAGCAGTAACAGCTATACCCAATTTCAAACATGTGGGTCAAACGGTTCCTGAGTTATCGGTGACCGAAACCAAATGTTGACGAACAGACGGACGTATGACGGACGACGACCCATGGCAATAGCTCAGCTTGACGATGTCAAGGTGAGCTAAAAATCGAAATAAATGTAAAACTTGAACAAGAAAACTTGGAAAAGTGATGAGAATCAGAGACATCATCGCTACTATACAAGTTATCCTTTATTAACATACATGTATTATACACACAGTAGTAAACAGTGCAAAACAAACAGTAAACATGGCTAAACAAGCACACACATGCACACACGTACATGCACACGACTATTTTGGTCCAGCATATTAGATAGTACCAGGGTACGTTCCGGCAGTACCCTGGGAGACATAGACCCTCTTAGCATCAGTAAGAAAGACGATATTTTAATTAATAATTTTAAATGCTCCTGGGCAGGCATCTCCGTCAGCTTGTAGTTCACATCACAAACTCACGATTTCTTCTTCTTCTTCTTGCGTAGTTCCTGGAAATGTATAGTAGCAAGTCATTTTCATTCGGTTTGTAGATAATAGATCTATCTTGGTTAATTTTTACTCAACCGTGTTGCTCAAAACGTACTGATGCCGTTTCGCCTCCTATCACGAGGCTTTCTCAAAGCTGACTGAAGTTTTCAGATTTGACTACCAGATGACTGTAGTAGCAAGCATTAGCGATTGTTGGCTCGATATTTATCGTTCACAGATCTAGTACTAGAGCTCTTGAGGAGGTAGGAGGAGGGAGAAGGGCTGTGTCCTGATCCCGGTACTCACAGAACCCGTAGCCCTTAGGTTTACCCGTCTCCCTGTCGTAGACCAGCCTGTAAGACAGAGGAGAAGGTTAGCGAGAGAGAGGGGGAGGAGGGAGGAGGGAGGAGGGAGGAGGGAGGGGAGAAACAGAGGGAGGTAGGAGAGAAGAGAAATGGAGTGAGAGAGATACAGAGACAGAGACAGAGACACAGATATATATATAGAGAGAGATATATATATATAGAGAGAGAGAAAGAGATAGCGAGAGAGAGCCATAGATAGACTGAGAGTTACAGAGACAGGAAGAGTGAGAGAGAGAAAGAGAACTTCTCATGAATCGTGACTAGCCGTGTTATCTACACCGTGTGTCTACTTACTTGAAGCTGAGGACGGGTCCCGCCTCAGAGAATATCTCACGCAGCTGCTCCTCTGTCGCATCGTAGCTAATGTTTCCGACTGAAACGAGACGACAGCGATTGATCGAATGACTACGTTCGCTCTTTCGTTCCTTTGAAAGCGTATTTTGTGGTAATTTTTGTACTCTCTATACTAGCTCTAGAACTATAGCCCTCTGAACTGAGCCTTATTACTGAAAAGAGACGACAGCGATTGATCGAATGACTACGTTCGCTCCAGGACTTCGTTCCTTTGAAAGCGTATTTTGTGGTAATTTTTGTTTGCCGGTGACATGTGCGTGCACGTGTATGTGTGCGTGCGTCTGTGCGATTGCGCTCGTGGGGTCTGTGGTTCTGTGAATGTAGTCGCGCGCGGGTGTGTGAAAAGATACTATTACTTTGATACGATAGTGAATTGATACAATTACTGTCTTCTAATAACAAGTAATATCAATCAATAATATCAATTGTCCGAATTGTTCGAATATCAATATCCGAATTGTCCGAATTGTCCGAATTTTCTGTTTGGTGAAGAACTGGTGACACGTGACAATGAATCTAGAATAGTTTGTTATTTTCCGGTAGATTCCGCAGGGATGTCATGTGTAAATAAATTATGCTGTTGTGTTTCTCGTTTTCCCATTGATTTTATAATGATCGATGCCCATCTTTTTGGCTAGAAACCAATTGACAAGGCGCACTTTGGAAAATAGCCATTACCGGGTACTTTGTCGATAAGGAGAACAAAATTCCACTAAAACGCTATGTATTCGTGAAAAATACCCGCTTTTCAAGCTGTGGTAAAAAAGTAATGATATACGATTTTGGTGACCCGAAATTATCTAGTAGTTGTGGGTTTATTTACCGTTTAATCACAGAAAGAATGCCATGTACAGTTTATTTTTACACCATTTAAATGAACCCGTTTCTACGGTTCATATTTAATCCCAAATATATATTGCAGTGTATTAACGCAAAACTATCCTTAAAGCATATAAACAAATGACGTGTTTTAGTCTTCAAAATTTATTTTGTCATTTATTTTTGCGGATTGGGACACAGAAAGCGGGCACCAAATATTATATAATATATCTTTTATATTATTTAGCGTCGAGCGAATGTATATATTTGACTTAAAAACTTTATAGATATAACACGGTTCAGTGTATCTTATTACTGAAAAGAGACGACAGCGATTGATCGAATGACTACGTTCGCTCCAGGACTTCGTTCCTTTGAAAGCGTATTTTGTGGTAATTTTTGTCTATTGCAGTGTTGGCTGTACATGAGACCACATGTACATCCACGTCAACAAATGTCACCCAGCAGAGTACGTAACACACTAGTACTAATTGTATATAATTATTAATATCATACATTACTGTTTTAAGTTTACTGTAGACTAGTTTGTAGTGTCACTATCGACCGTAGTCCGTACTGTAAGTTGTAACTGAGTCTGTGACTGTGCAGTGTTACTCTGTAGGGCCTAGTGTTGTTACTTTATGAGTTATGTTATCTGATATTCACAGTAATCGGTACCTCGAATTATTTATATATGAGGGAATGAATTGTGATAAGAGGGGCCCGTTTAAACAAACACACGCACAGAACGGCAATAATATATGTAGGAATACAAGTTACAACAACAAAAACACGGACACCGTCACCGGTACGTTACAGGTGTCACCGAACATTAGATAGTACTAGTGACAGCAGATACTGTTCGTGCCACGATTTCAACTAACGCAAAACATATATTACTGTGCACATACAGGACCTCGTTAAATGATTTCATTTCGCAATATGCGTTTACTACACACCGAAAACAGATCGCATCGACTTCTCGGCTGCAGAAAGTGCGCCGCTTACGGTCGCCATCTTGTCGTTTATGCCGGTGTCACATCGAAAAGGTTGAACCATCGAAAAAGTTGCCCCACTATCTTCGATCTGAGATAAATATATCTTCGGCCGATCTTTATGGCATGTTTTTTGTTTCATAATTCGATTTTTCTTTTATGGTTGAATTATCACATATCACCACATGCATATAACATTTGATTTATCACATATAACATTCGATTTATCACATATAACATTCGATTTATCACATAATATATAACATTCGATTTATCACATATAACATTTGATTTATTGCATATAACATTTGATTTATCGCATATAATATTTGCTTATTTAGTCATATGTTATATGCAATAAATCGACAATAATTCCCTGTTTTAAATGTTCACATTATTTGATTTTATATCCGAAAATAGAATCAAACCATGCATTCGATCCTGGCATCAAACCATTCGGTTTTGGAATCAAATCATTCGAGCTGCGAATCAAATCATTCGATCCGCGAATCGAATCATTCGATCCGCAAATCAAATCATTCGATCTGCGAATCGAATCATTCGAACCGTGAATAGAACACGTGCGTTTGCGCGTGTGCACATACACGTGCGTGCGTACGTGCATGTGCGTGCACGTACACGTTCGTGCGTGCGTGCGTGTGTACGTACACGTGTGAGCGTGCGTGCGTGTGCACGTACACGTGCGTGCGTGCGTGCGTGTCTGCGTGCGTGTGCATGTACACGTGCGCGCGTGTGCACATGCACGTGCGTGCGTGCGTGTGCACGTACACGTGCGTGCGTGTGTGCACGTACATATGCGTGCGTGTGTGCACGTAGGCCTACACGTGCGTGCGTGCGTGTGCACGTACACATGCGTGCGTGTGTGTGCACGTACACGTGCGTGCGTGTACACGTATACGTACTGAACCGAGAGTGCACGCCGCACTCGAGATTTCATCTATTTTTGTCACAAAATGACCCGGTGACCTGTGACGTCACACAACCCCTTGGCTAACTACGAACTGGCTTATTGGGTTCAATATTGTTATTCCTAATATACGTTAATGATATAGCAGATGCAGTTAATGTCAAGCTTTTATTATATGCTGATGATAAGATTCCACCTTGGTAGTTTCAGGGACAGAGGTACAGAGGCTATACAGGAAGAACTAAGTAGATAATTGCAATCAGTTAATAAATGACTCAATGAGAATACTTTATCCTTACACCTAGGAAAAACAGAAAGCATTATTTTTGGAAATAAAAAGAAACCCAGGGAAAGTCCAAAGTTAGACATCAGATGTAATGGGGTGGCAATTGAAATATAGTATCTAGGAATAAACCTTGATGAGTGGTGAGATAACTTGTATATAAATATGGTTGTAAAAAAGTTAACAATAGAAATTTCTTTCTAGACAAGCAAAGTATTTAAACAAAACATGTAAAAGATTACTCGTTTCTGCTTCAATTCACCGTCGTTTTGATTATGCATGTAGTGTGTAGTATAGTAGTCTTACAAAGCGTACAAGGTTTTAGTTACAAGTGTGTTAAAATAGAGCCATTAGATTGTGTTATCAATTTGGGGACAAGAGCACACATAGGTGCTAGAGTTCAAGGCTATAAATTGGGTACCCGTAGAGTACAGGGTAATGCAACTAAAGATTAATAAGGTTTTTAAAATGTTACATAATCACAGTCATCTGCGAGTCAAATCCCTTTGAGAAAGCCTCGTGATAGGAGGGCCGAAACGGCCAGCAGTACGCCCCCCAACCCCCACTTTGATCAACACGCCGTTGAAGAAAAATTAACAAGACTAGATTAATTATCATACAAAACCGATATGAAAATGACTTGCCTACTATACATTTCCAGGAACTACGCAAGAAGAAGAAGAAGAAATCGTGAGTTTGTGATGTGAACTACAAAGCTGATGGAGGCAGATTCTGCATTTCGTTCAATGAGATGGCAGATTTCAGAGTGAAGGAAAAGAGAGAAATGAAATAAAAACTGAAAACAGAAAACGGAAGTTTTTATTTAGACATTATTTAACCTATATATTTTTTTTATTTTTTTATATTATTTATAGGCAAGATTGAATAATATGTGGTTTTGAGTAATTGCTTGACCCATGATTATCCATTTGATTGAATTTGTATGCTGCGCACTAGTGTTGTCAATCCGCGTTGTAATTCTCGTAATAATCCGATCATCAGTTGACCCAAGTAACCGTGATCGGTTACAATCGGCTTACTCGGGGTGCTTGAATGCCTGCCGTTGCGTAACGTCGTAGTGCATGTGGCGTTGTGGGCACTGTATGTGCGTGTTTAGCCATGTTTACTGTTTGTTTTGCCAACTCACTTGGTTTTACTACTGTGTGTTAATACATGTATGGTTAATAAAGGCATAACTTTGATAGTAGCCCGATGCATATCTCTGATTCTCATACTTTCCAAGTTTTCTTGTTCAAGCTTACATTTCATTTCGATTTTGTAGCCTCACCTTGACATCGTCAAGCTGACTATTGCTCATGGGCCGTCGTCGTCCGTCGTACGTTCCGTCTGTCCGTCAACATTTGGTTTCGGTGCAAGCGATAACTCTCAGGAACCGCTGGGACCCACATGTTTGAAAGTTGGGGTATAGTTTGTTTACGGCTATGCTCCCATATGAAACGTCCTATTATGGAGCACAGCCAGTCAACGCTACTTCGATGCCACGGCAATTTTTTTGGGCCAAAAATGGGGAATTGTCATTAGTCAGTTCAGGTTCAACGGGTTCTTGCTGAATCTTTTTGGTACCTGACTCAAGCAAACGTTCTTCGCTGGAAGCTGCACTTTGAGCCTAGCT